TTGAAGAACACGATCACCATGAAATCCAGAAAACGGCCGATGGCCACCTTGCGCCGCCGCCGCTGAACGGCGACGGCCGCCGTTCATCGGCGGCAAAACCCTTTTTTTTTGTTTTTCAAAGCTCTTTTCCTCTGGTTTTCCAAAAATCCGGATAGTTTTTTTTAGATCGGGCCTCGGGATTACTAGATCTAACAAGACAGATCTAGAAGAACTTCCCGTTCATCGGCCGAAAATGGTTCTATTTGGTGTCTTTCGGAGCAAAACAACGAAACCAAGCAACGAGAACCACATGTAGGCCTGTAAACGAACCGAACGCACACGAACGGAGGTATGTTCATGTTCGTTCATTTAATAAATAAACGAACATAAACGAACACGAACATAAACGAACAATTTTTTTTTTGTTCATGTTCGTTTATTAAGGAATATAACTTGTTCATGTTCGTTCATTTAATAAATAAACGAACATAAACGAACACGAACATAAACGAACACGAACATAAATGAACACGAACATAAACGTTGGAGACCCTACCTTTCATTGTTCTTTCATGAAAAATAGTCGACAATGCAAATCAACCAAATCTACAGTGATAAATAGCGTAAGAGCTGATTAGCAGTGATGAAATGTTTGAAGATATCAAATATTTCGATCGATCTTTTAAAGATATTAAATGATTCACACGACTTTAATTTAACGCTATAACATTTATCTTAGTGGTCCATGATTACATATGAACAATCATTTTCCACTACGTTATTCTAATAAATTCGCTAGCTAAAAGTTTTGTGACATCAATGTCAGACTTAAGTGAGGTTTGTTAATAATGGTCATTTCCGTTGGCAGAGTAAAAAATTTAACAGCATAAAGATTTCGAACGGTACAAATTGGACTACAAGGCAATAACATAGATCCGAAATCTCTTCGATGCTACATATTGTAACTGATATTATTGCTAAACCACCATTCAAAATTTTAATGTACCTAAAGTCTACTCTACAACTAAAGGTTACACAAGAACTATGAAAACAAAAGTTCATTGTCAAAATGTATTTTCTACTTATTAATGGGTTCTTCCTGGAAAACCAATTACTTCCGCTATTACACTCTTTTTCAGAAATTGCATAGAAACCTTTGTTTTGTTTTATGGCAAATTCTATATATTTTTCTCTTTACTGATGCTCATATACTTCCGATTATTACATTTATCTTCTCATCTATTTCTAGAAAGAAGTATGATGTTTTCTTGAGTTTTAGATGTGAAGATACCCACAATAACTTTACATATCAACTATTAAGCCAAATAAAACAAAGAAATAGATGAAAACAGACCTGTAAAACTTCAGATTGCACTATAATATAACTTGTTTTGAAGCTTCCAGCGATCGTCTCTACTCTCCAGTGAACACTAGGGTTTGGGAAAAAAGGGGGAAAATGAATATAGGAACATAAATTGGTCATCAGAATATCAGATTAATTAATATTTTTAAGATACTTACAAATTGGTTAAACATAAATGAATGAACATAAACGAACATAACTGAACGAACATAAACGAACATAACCGAACGAACATAACCGAACGTTCACGAACGTAAATGAACGAACGAGACCTATGTTCATGTTCGTTCATTTAATTAAACGAACACAAAATCTTGTTCATGTTCGTTCATTTAATAAATAAACGCACATAAACGAACTTCCCGCCGCACGGTTCATGAACGGTTCGTTGAACGTTCAGTTCATTTACAGGCCTAACCACATGCAAGCCGAGTACATAATGAATCGAAGGTAAAAGAAAGAAAAGAAGAAAAAAACAAATACCTTTATTTCTTTTGAAATTCGTACAAGAGTACTTTGAAATAGCTATCTATTTGTTTCGTATGCTTTCTGGTATTTGTGCCTAAAGCTCTCTGATATTTCTCCTATCCCTCCCCAATCATGTTCAATTTACATGTATTTATAGTCTAAGAATACTAGTCTTAGTCCCGATTTTCTAGCATTTTATTTGGACTAAATCACTGCTTGGTTGGTTGTGGATGTATCCTTGTAACTCACGTCGTTGTGCTTGTTGAACATGCGAGAAATGACTGTGAAAGGAGGCGTGCGGCCGTGAAACTCGGGAGTTGGGACTGCTGCGCGGCGCTGAGTTTTCAAAGGGGGAGAACGGCGCTGATGGAGTGTGTGAAGCTAGGGTTCCCAAAACCCTAGCTGGACCAGTCCTGTTTGGGTTTGAGCACCAATTGGGCCTGAGATAAAAAGGATAAATATGTAAATATTATATATGTATGAATATATTATATAATATATTATATAATATGATAACGTTTAAATAACGGAATTTAGTGTCTTCAATATGTAAAGCTTTAACATATTGAATTGATTATAATAATTTAACATATTCAATCATGTGAGTGTATAGTGTTCAAATCAATAATATTTAATAGTCAAAAATTATTTTCTCATGATGTACGCCAAGTCAAATGAAGAATGCATAAATTTATGTTTCTACTCAGGGTCAAGATACCTCCACCAATAAAAGATAAAATCTGCAAATGAATTTGTGACAAATTGTACCTTATCTTCTATGTTGTAATTGTAGAAGAAAAAAAACGTTGAACCAATTGATAAAGTATGTACGAAAAGCTTGGATCAAATAAAACTCTTGTCAAAATTGAAGGGTTTGCATCAACATTTTTATTATTAATTAATTTCAGTTGAATTTCCTGCAGTGCACTTTACCAATAGGCGTCGAGCAATCGACAATAAACCATTCCATGCAGTTCACGTGTGAGATCAATTAAAGATTTCAAGGAATATAGTAATATTAAATTACAACCAACCATTTCTTTTTGATGAAAGGCTCGGGTTACAGATACCTCGAAAGGCTTTCATACCAGTCTCACTCCACTCGATCCACCTCTCTAAACAATGGAAAAGATAGAGCACAGCCATGAACAAGCTAAAGGACTGAAGCTTCATGTTGCCCAGATTGGAACTGGTCAGAAATGACTTAATACTGCTCAACTTGTTTATTTTGCCTAATTATTCCTAGTAGATATAACTTGTTCCCCATCGATTATGGGGATTTGTGGGCGCGTGCAGGTCCTAAGGTGGTGGTATTCATGCATGGATTCCCTGAAATTTGGTATTCATGGCGGCACCAGATGGTTGGTGTGGCTAATGCCGGCTACCGAGCTATTTCTTTTGATTTTAGGGGCTATGGACTCTCAGACCATCCATCAGAACCAGAGAGGGCAACCTTTAATGACTTTGTTGATGATGTCGTTGCCCTTTTCGACTCTTTAGGCATCAGTAAGGTACCGTTTTTTTATCGACTTTGATTTGTTACAGGACTCGATCCCGGCACATATGTTCATCTTTTTCAACCGTTGAAACCAGGCACATCTTGTTTCCAAGGATTTCGGGGCCTTCGTAGCCACCATGGTGGGCGTACTTCACCCTGAAAGAGTGTCTACTATCACCTTACTAGGCGTTCCTTTCCTTTTACCAGGCTTCTCTCCACTCCAAACACAACTTCCTCTCGTTCCATCAGGCTTTTACTTGCTAAGATGGCTGGTGAGTACTAAAAATTAAGCTCCACTTTGTCATGTCTGTCATGTTGTGTGCTGTAAATTCCCTTCCCTACAGATACCGGGGAGAGCTGAAGCTGATTTCGGCCGCTTCGACACAAAGACAGTAGTACGCAAGATTTATATTATGTTCTCCGGAAGTGAACTCCCAGTTGCAGCTTCTGATAATCAAGAGATCATGGATTTGGTTGATTCATCTGCTCCTCTACCGCCATGGCTGAGCGAGGAAGATATTTCAGAGTATGGATCTTTATACGATAAAAGCGGATTCCGTACTGCACTGCAAGTTCCATACAGGTAAGCTGAAGCGTTGAGATCCATGGAGCTATAGTCAAACCAATCTAGTTTCATATAATTGATTGTATTTTTGCTCAAATATATCGTCATTACTTGTAGGACCGTGATGCTGTCCTGTGGGCTGGATGATGATAAAATCAAAGCTCCTGGACTATTGGTCATGGGAGAGAAAGACTATATTATGAAATTCCCAGGGCTGGAAGACTACATCAAGACTGGCAAAGTCAAGGAGTTTGTGCCCAATTTGGAGGTCACATTTTCTTCAGAAGGGACTCATTTTGTCCAAGAACAGCTTCCTGAGGAGGTGAATCAACTCATCATCTCCTTCCTCAACAAACACAGCAAATAAAGGAAGAACAACATGAGCTACCTGCATTTTCGCATAGTTGAAGCCTACGTTTGCAATGAGAATATAAGAGGTGATTGTCAAATTTTAATGTATTAGAAGAATCTTTGTAGTTTCAGAACATTAGTATAAACATTTGAAGCCTGAAGTGTGCTGCCAAACAATCCGAAACTAATAGATGGTTCAACCCATCTCATAATTGCAAATACTCCATTGCAAGTGTTATCCAAGTGCATATTTGTTCCAGAAAAGTGGACAAGCAATACCTACTGGTTACTGTACTAATTTACAAATTAGAGTTTCTATGCCGGGAATCTGGACCCTAAGGGCTCAATCCCTTCAAACAGGGAATAGAGGTTATCACTCCCTGCCTCTCTCCCTTGGATATAAGTAGGGATGGACATAGCATTTTATGTTAGGAGAAAAATTTATTAAATTTTAGGAGGATGAACTTATAATATTTTAAAGGATCATAACAGATTATCAATAGAAAAGACAAATGAAATTTATATTAAAACATATGATAATTTGAAATTTTCTGATATAAGCTTAAGAGACGGATCAAGCAAATGCTTTTGCGCTAATCTTTGTGCCTTGTTTTATCCTATAACAATTCACGTCTACCGTGTAATATCATTATATAGAATTTGTTTAAGTCCGTCCAAGAAACGTGCTTTCCCTTTTTCTTAATTTAGAAAAAACATGAATCCTTGAATCTGCTATTTCTTCTTCTTCTTAATACATATATATATCATTTAGCTTGAAAAGGAAAATGTTTGCAAGCTTTGATGCACTTAGCTGGAATCAAAATCCAAGTACATTCTGTTGGCATCTCTGTTAGGTGTGTAGTAAGACTTGATCAAGCTATCAACTTGGAAACCAAGCTTCTTGTAAAGACCCATGGCAGCAATTCTCAAAGGATCAACGTGAAGTGATATCCGATGGACGTTTCTGGTCCTGCACTTCAGAATTGCTGCTTTTAGTAATGCCTCCCCATGGCCTTGCCTTCTATGACTCTCCTTCACTGTTTCGGGTATGCAGAAACAAATAAAACAGAGTAGATAAACAAAGAGAAGAGCATATAAGTTTGACTTGGGACTTTTACCGAACATGTTATCGGCGAAGCCAATGCTTGAATAAAGTGAAGAGAACAGGGAATATGAACCTGCAAGTTTTGTTATGGACGCAGAAAGTGAAGAGCGCCAACAATACATAGCATAGCCGATAACCTCTCCATGAACATCCATCAGGTAAAGCAATCCACTGTTGTTTTTACTCAGTTCTTCATCAAAGGATCTAGCAAGTGATTCGTGCTTTGGGAAAATCTTCTTTTCCAGTTTCACGATATTTTCTACTATATTTGCGAAACTTTTTGAGTTTCTATGGAGCTCCACCACCACCACGGCCACCTTATCCATGCTGTTTTCCATTTCCGATCTGATGTCTTCGCTGTAGATTTAACTGGGATTCATAGCCTAAGGATGGCCATAAGTCGGGTCGGATTTTTGATCTATCTGATTCGACTCAACGATCTGAATCTAGGCATGTAAACGAACCGAACGCACACGAACGGAGGTATGTTCATGTTCGTTCATTTAATAAATAAACGAATATAAACGAACACGAACATAAACGAACAAAATTTTTTTTGTTCATGTTCGTTTATTAAGGAATATAACTTGTTCATGTTCGTTCATTTAATAAATAAACAAACATAAACGAACACGAACATAAACGAACACGAACATAAATGAACACGAACATAAACAAACATCAACGTTAGAGACCCTACCTTCCATTATTCTTTCATGAAAAATAGTTGACAATGCAAATCAACCAAATCTACAGTGATAAATAGCGTAAGAACTGATTAGCAGTGATGAAATGTTTGAAGATATCAAATATTTCGATCGATCTTTTAAAAATATTAAATGATTCACACGACTTTAATTTAACGCTATAACATTTATCTTAGTGGTCCATGATTACATATGAACAATCATTTTCCACTACGTTATTCTAATAAATTTGTCGGCTAAAAGTTTTGTGACATTAATGTCAGAATTTAGTGAGGTTTGTTAATAATGGTCATTTCCGTTGACAGAGTAGAAAATTTAACAGCATGAAGATTTCGAACGGTACAAATTGGACTACAAGACAATAATATAGATCCGAAATCCCTTCGATGCTACATATCATAACTGATATTATTGCTAAACCACCATTCAAAATTTTAACGTACCTAAAGTGTACTCCACAACTAAAGGTCACACAAGAACTATGAAAACAAAAGTTCATTGTCAAAGTATTTTTCTACTTATTAATGGGTTCTTCCTGTAAAACTCATTACTTCCGCTATTACACTCTTTTTCAGAAATTACATAGAAACCTTTGTTTTGTTTTCTGGCAAATTCTATATATTTTTCTCTTTAATGATGCTCATATACTTCCGATTGTTACCTTTATCTTCACATCTATTTCTAGAAAGAAGTATGATGTTTTCTTGAGTTTTAGATGTAATGATACCCGCAATAACTTTACATATCAACTATTAAGCCAAATAAAACAGAGAAAGAGATGAAAACAAACCTGTAAAACTTCAGATTGCATTATAATATAAATTGTTTTGAAGCTTTCAGCGATCGTTTCCAAATAAATTGGGTTAATTATATAGTTGGTCATCAGAATATCAGATTAATTAATATTTTTAAGATACTTACAAATTGGTCACCAAAATTGATTTAAGAAGATTGGGTTAAACATAAATGAAAGAACATAAACGAACATAATCGAACGAACATAACCGAACGAACATAACCGAACGTTCACGAACGTAAATGAACGAACGAGACCTATGTTCATGTTCGTTCATTTAATTAAACGAACACAAAATCTTGTTTATGTTCGTTCATTTAATAAATAAACGCACATAAACGAACTTCCCGTCGCACGGTTCATGAACGGTTCGCTGAACGTTCAATTCATTTACAGGCCTATCTGAATCCGATAGAAAAATATTTACTTTCTATCTAACTCGCTGCCATGTTTTTTTTAGATAAAGTCTGAATTTAATCCGATCCACCATAAATAATATAATTATTAAAAAATATTACTTTTATTCAAGAAAAATAGATATTTAATAGAAAACAATATATGAGATATATATTATTATAATTATTTTGAAATATATATATAAAGTAAAATTACATCTTTTTGGATAGGTCTGTCGGGTATTTTTCACCCTAAGCATGATTTTCAGAATCGGATCGGTTAGCGAACCGGTCATGTTATCGGTTAGCGAACCGGTCATGTTACCGGTTCATTAGTTCAACCGATCGAATCGGTTCGATCGGTCGAAAGAACCGGACGACGTCATAATTATTTAAAAAATTAAATAAAAATACCAAAAATATTTAATAAAAAATAATTTTTTATATCACAAGTCATATTTAAAGCAAGTCATAACATATATAAGTTAAAAACCATAAAATCAAGTGAAACAAAATGATTCAAATTAACTACAACATAATATTTAATGTAAAACATATTAAATAATAAATATAATTATATAAATATAATTAAAAAATAAATTTGGGGTTAAAAAAATCATAACAAAATGATATTGTTTGATTTAATTTTTTTTTAAAAACAATCCCACATGGCTAAGAAACATAGAAGAGCATCCCAAAAATCTAAAGAGTAAAAATATGAGAACAAAACAATATCACATTGCTAAGAAATATAGAAGCGCATCACAACTAGCTTCTATAAATAATAGAGATAATTTGGCATTCAAAATCATAGAGCCTTTTGGTGAGCATAGAGCGAACTATTCTTTCACTTCAATCAAGCTCGAATTTTAGGCTTCAATCGAGCTTCTAATTTTTTTTTTTTTGAGTTTAAGCCTTTTTGAGTTTAAGTTTCAATATTATATTTCGAGTTTAAGTTGAACTTGATAATTTTTAGCTTGTGAGTTTGAGTTGAGTTGAGCTTACTTTTAAAGTTTTCAAGTTCGAGTCGAGATACTCGAGTTCGACTTGGCTCGTTTAACAAAATACGTTGTTTGGTTTAATTTGTTTTTAAAAAAAACAAAAATCCCTGTTTTTTCCGGTTTTCAGCCGGTCCGGTTCGAACGGTTCAGCAGTTCTGGCCGGTTCACTAATAGCGGTTCAACCGGTTTAGATTGAACCGGACTAAGCAACGGTTCCCGATTGAACCGACCGATCCGGTCCGATTTTCAAAACAGAGACCCTAAGCTTGAACATGACCCATGCCCAAAATTTTTGAAAAAATTAACTGATCGAGTTGAATAGAAACCCGTTGGGTTAGGATCTCGTGCTCATTCTTACTTCGTATCCTTAAAAAAATAAGATAAATTATGTATTTAGTCATTCAACTAATTTCTTTATGTTTATTTTTTATGTATCATCCTAATGTTAAGTTTTGATTTTTATTTGATCACTTATTATTAAAGAGTTAACAATGATATTTATATGTCTTCATAAAATAATATCACGTTATCAATATAAAAATAAATAATTATCACATCAACAATTATATTAATTTTCAACGATGGTTGATGAAAATGACATCAAAACATAACATTAGATATAATTTTAAAAAGAAAATAATTGAGTGATCAATTTGGAACTACAAAAATAGTTGGGTGACTATATAGTAGTTTACCCATTCTTTTTGGTATATGTAAATTGTATAAGTTTATAATTTGGTTGATATGATATAATCATCCGCTATGAAAATTGAAGAATTCAATATAAGCCACAGAATTGAGGGGGGGAAAGCAGTGAGTTAAAAGAGAGCTTTATCGGGAGAACCAATAATGATTCTGACCTGCCCTGTGGTTAATCTCAATCCTACATTCGGCTGTCGTTTTAGCAAACCAGTCGCCGTATCTACCAATCCTTTCCATGGTTGCTTCTTTTTCAGCACCAAATTAAGTCTACTCTCCTCAAGTGTCACTGCAGCACCCACAACAAAGATACAGATAAGTCCACTCAAGTAAGTACCTTTTTCCCCCCTTAAATATCTGTTTTTGATATACTAAAATTAACTGAGTTTTATAGTTTCTGATCAATTGTGGAAATGGGTTTTGTATTATGGGGATGAACAGGGATTTTCTGTGTTGAAATCAGACATCCCATGGAAGACGGGGAGTTTATGGAGCACCATGGCTCTTTATATGTTCAATTTGCACATTCCTGTGGGTTTTGGTGGCCTTTCTATTGTTGCTTATATCTTGCATCAACCTGTTCTTGATCCCCAGACTCAGGTTTTTTATTTATATCTTGCATCAACCTGTTGGGTTCTCAGCAGGGATTTAATTTGCTTTGCTCACATAGTGGATGCTAATGCGGTCATCACGGGTGTCACAGTCATGCAATTACAGTTTTGACGGCACCATTACCGCTATTCCAACAGCGAACTGTTATTTAAGTTCCACTTAAACTTGCATTTTCTAGCCTTAATTGTGCCTTTAAAAAAGTGAGCAGAAAATTATTTGTGCTAGGTATCTTACCTGCTGGCTTATAGCATTCTGCAATAATACAATGCACATCCCTTTAAAACTGGTGTTCAAAAATCTTTAATCGACCCTCAACCGAAATTATTTCGGCCACTGACCAATTAACTGAATTAATTCGGTCCGTTCGGTGAATTTGGTTAAAATCAAAATATGCATACCCCTACTCTTTAAGTTGATTCTCTATATTGTTTCTATGTTTTCTGCAGGCACTATCATTGCTTGTAATTGATGTTTTGGAACTGCTTGCTAATCTCTTTCTCCTAAATAGCACCGTTAGGCCAGAGAAAAGGCTTGTGGATATTTTCGAATTTAACTTGGTAGAAAGGAACTGGCTATTGGCATCAGCACTGGGTTTTGGAATACTCATTTTGATAGTTTTCCTTACATCGATCATTATTGACGTATTATATGGGGTAAAGGTTAGTTTCTTCATCTTCATTGCTTTTAGTATCCTTTTTATCACAGTTTTTATCACTCAACATCAAATGTTATGATTAGAGTATGCTGTGATCATAATAACTTGATTTGCTCATTGAATATGCTGGCCACATCAAGTTAACTGATTAATCCTCTGCCCCGAAGAAAAGCATAAGTTGAACCATTAGCACTACTAGGTCTAACTTCCAAGATTGATACGAATTCCATGCACGAAAGCTTGTAACTTCATCTTCAATTGCTTTGCTTTGGACCTTGTAACAAGACCACCTGGAAAAGTTTTAAGTCTCAATGCACATCGTTGCCCTTGAGGTTCGTATCAAAGGTGTTGAGTTTTAGGTGAAGTTACCTCATCATGATAAGATGGTTTTACAATGTCTTCTTTGCTTTTATATTCCATCATCACCCTTGAATCTTTCTAATCCATTTTGCTGTACTTTACATTCTCTCTAAGATGTGTTTTTAAAAAATAAAACAGTAACTTACGTATCCTTTTTTAATTTAAAATTTAGGATGTAAATAACCCTGTACTGAAGGAAATGCTTCTAAGAAGTGACATTTCAAAAGTTGCTTGTATTATCGTATACTGCATCATCACTCCGATCCTCGAAGAAGTGGTTTACAGAGGCTTCATGTTGGCATCTCTTGTGTCAACTATGGATTGGAAGCAAGCAGTTGTGATTAGCGCTGCCGTCTTTAGTGCAGCTCACTTCTCTGGTGAGAACTTTCTACAGCTGTTTGTCATTGGGTGCATCCTTGGGTGCTCTTATTGTGGAACTGGAAACTTGTGCTCTTCCATTGTCATACATTCTTTGTATAATGCCTTCACGTTGCTTGTAACATTTTTATCTTAGTACGAAATAAAATCTGCTGATTGGATCTCTTATCTGGTTTTGAACACCTTTGAACTGATTTAAAAATATAAGCGTTTTATCTTCTAGGCAATACATCACTGTTACCCATATATTCCTTTTCTGTTTGCGTTACAAGAAAACTTTTCGACGGTGTCCTGAAAGTGAAGGGTGCATCAAACATATGAATGGAAACTTGGTTGGCAACTATCCGAGGTGGACTTGTTATTATTCGAGAAAGCTTTTTGTTGTTAAGAACTGCTGGCCAGGATGAAAGGCAGCAGGGTCATCTTCATTCCCATCGGTAGTAGTTAATGGACTGCACTGAGCAGGATCCGTTGGAGCAAGCACTGAAGAAGTGGCTGTGATCTTCTCCTTCCTCTTGATACGGAGCTCGTTGTGAAGCTTTGACTAATGCAATCTTAGTTCTTTGAGCTCGTTCATGTTAAGTTGATAGATGAGAGTTTCCCACCAACCTTTAGCCTTTCTCCCACTTGTCTCGGAGAGCCATTGCTAAAAGATCCAAGGACGATAGAAACAATAAACACGGTTAATGGGAATGCTTTCTTAGCCTTCTGGGGTACTATGGGATGTTCTTGTTGGGTGGAATGCAAATATAAGACAGGCACCTCAAGAATCAAATGTTCAAACTAATGGAATTAGCCCCTTGATTTGTCTCCTCTGTTATTGCCATTCTTAGAATTTGAACAACCAAAATCTCCATTGGCGCTATAGATTCTCATTTATGCTTAATTGTGCTCTGCTTAGTCTATGGTACAATGATGTATCCGTTTCAACTTCATAACCTCCATTCGATGTTTAATGAATGACGATCATATATAGATCTTGTTTCATCGATTGTGTTTGTTAAGGACTTTCCAAATAATGTGCAAGGATAGACATGGTCACATTCTATTACATTGTGCATCAGACAAGTTGAGCAAAACCTGTTATTATATCATGCCACATTACTATTTCTGTTAAGTCAATGGTCAAATCTAATGGCTAGTGTTAAAATATGAACTTGACATTAGATATCATTTTTTAAGTATGAACTTGACATTAGATATAATTTTAAAAAGAAAATAATCAGATGACTAAAACTAAAATGCTGGAATAAGTGGAAGAAAATAGTGAGATGACCAAAACTAAAATGTTGGAATAAGTGGATGACCAACTACATTGAAAAAAAGTTGACAAATGGTTCCGTCCCTAGGTATGATATACCTTTTCCTATACATGATTGAGCCCTTAGGCTCCAGATTCCCGGCAAATGAACTCTAATTGTAAACTAATACAGTAATCAAAAGGTATTGCTTGCCTACTTTTCTGGAACAAATATGCACTTGGATAACACTTGCAATGAAGTATTTGCTATTATGAGATGGGTTGAACCATCTATTAAGTTTCGGATTGTTTATACTAATGTTAGACTGGAACTGCAGTGATTCTTCAAATACACTCAGATTTGACAATTACCTCTTCTATTCTCATTGCAAACGTAAGCTTCAACCATGCATTTTATAGCTCATGGAGTTGTTCCTTTATTCACTGTGTTTGTCGAGGAAGGAGATGATGAGTTGATTCACCTCCTCAGGAAGCTGTTCTTGGATGAAATGGGTGCCTTCCGAAGAAAATGTAACCTCCAAATTGGGCACAAACTCCTTGACTTAGCCAGTCTTAATGTAGTCTTCCAGACCTGGGAATTTCATGAGATAGTCTCTCTCTCCCATGATCAAAAGTCCTGGAGCACTGATTTTCCCATCATCCAGCCCACAGGACTGCATCATGGTCCTACAAGTAAAGACCATATATTTGGGCAAAATACAATAAATTATATGACAAAAGATTGGTTTGACTATAGTTTCATGGTTCTTGTATGGAACTTGCAGTGCGGTACGGAATCCGCTTTTATCGTATAAAGATCCATACTCTGCAATATCTTCCTCGCTCAGCCGTGGTGGCAGAAGAGTAGATGAGTCGACCAAATCCATGATCTCTTGATTATCAGAAGCTGCAACTGGGGATTCACTTCCGGAGAACATAATATAAATCTTGCGCACTACTGTCTTTGAGTCGAAGCGGCCAAAATCGGCTTCAGCTCTCCCCGGTATCTGCAGGGAAGGGGATTTACAGCACACAACATGATGGACATGACAAAGTCGAGCTTAATTTGTAGTACTCACTCATCAGCCATCTTAGCATATAGAAGTCTGATGGAATGAGAGGAAGTTGAGTTTGGAGTGGAGAGAGGCCTGGTAGCAGGAAAGGAACGCCCAGTAAAATGATGGTAGACACTCTTTCAGGGTGGAGTACGCCCATCATGGAGGCTACGAAAGCCCCGAAATCCTTGGAAACAAGATGTGCCTGTTTCAACTGTTGAAAAAGATGAATATTTATGCCGGGATCAAGTCCTGTAACATATCAAATTCGATAAAAACGGTACGTTACTGATGCCTAAAGAATCGAAAAGGGCAGTCACATCATCAACAAAGTCATTAAAAGTTGCCCTCTCTGGTTCTGGTGGATGCTCTGCGAGTCCATAGCCCCTAAAATCAAAAGAAATAGCTCGGTAGCCGGCATTAGCAACTGCAACCATCTGGTGCCGCCATGAATACCAAATTTCAGGGAATCCATACATGAATACCACCACCTTAGGACCTGACCACAACCCCCCATCGTCGTTAGAAACAAGTTACATCAAGTAGGATTAATTAGGAAGAATAAACAAGTTGAACAGTATGAATATAAAAAGCAAGTGAAATGATGCGATTGAGATGAGTTGTGTGAGTAATTTCTAACCAGTTCCAATCTGGTCCACATGAAGCTTTAGTCCTTTAGCTTGTTCGTAGCTGTGCTCAATCTTTTCCATTGTTTAGAGAGGTGTATCGAGTGGAGTGAGAGGTCAATGGAACTGGTATCAAAGCCTTTCAAAGTATCTGTATCCCGAGGCTTTTAATAAAAAGGATATGGTCGGTTGTGGTTTAATATTTTACTATATTTCAAGTCTAAAATTGATCTCAAACGCGAATAATTTATTGTTGTTTGGTCGAAGTGCAGGAAATTCAACTGAAATTAAATTGTAATACAAATGTTGATGCAAACCCCTCAATTTTGACAAGAGTGTGCCAACTGTTGGCTGCCACGCGCCCCCATATCATGTGACATAGATTAAATCTATAATATAAAAAAACAATCGCCTAGCATAATTAGATGTCAACTCAGCAATGTACTTATTTTTCTGCATGGCGTATCTCAAATAGATCTGATTAGTACTCAAAGCAGCCGACCAATACAGGTAATGATCCAATGATTACCTCAACTTTAATGCCAAATTAACATGTACATTGTTGATTGTACATTACATTTAGTAAATAGAAGGGAAAGGGTAGAATCTTCGTAGGTCCATGTTACTAAACTACCCTTTATACAATTTACAGTATATCTTAGCTAAGCCTCGTCACCATAAGTAATCCTTTTAGATGTCTATTATGTATGATAGGGAGGTATAAAAAAAATGTTGTAAATCGGTGAAAATTCCTTGGTAGGGAGCTTTAGATTACTCTTTCATCATGAGTAATCCTCTTAGTTGTCAAAATGATGCTTCTCATCCCTCTTTGCAATCGAGCCACAATCGAGGTTTCGTTTATCCCTGATGACGAAAATAACATTAGTGCATCATGGCAAGGAAATGGATGCCTAAACATGAACTTCATTACCATAAATCACATTAATTTAAAATGAAAAATCCATTGGAGAGTGCTAAGGATAAGGATGCACGACAATCTTCTAATGCAGGTCTTGTACCTTGGGAGGATTGCTCGATGAACTAGAGTCTGCATTTTCAGTTGTATGTGCTTCTGATTTCTCGTTACAATAACTTCAAGAAGAAAACAATCAGCCCGTGTTAGAAAGAAAATTCAATCAACACAAATATAACAAATATTGAACGAAACAGGAAACCAGAAATTTCCGTTGCACGTGATATTACAAAGGAACCGTGTCACGTCATATGACAAGCTAATATGCAAAATTATCATGTATACAGATTTGTCGAAAGAGAGATCAACAAGAGAGAAACTGCCCAACAATTATCCAGGGATTAAAATTTAGAGGCCTGGATAGCATATAATCCTGGTTTGACAATTTGAATGTTAAGAATGCAGAAGACGGAAGGACTACAGGAAATAGAGTGAAAAAGCCACAATAACACCGGATAAACCGATTATATCATTGTAGCAACTAAACAGTATGCTATGAACATGCCGGCAAAACAGTTACAATTTCTTCAAATATTAGACAAGAAGACGCAGATACTTACGTTGACAATATCGTTACCCAGATAAGCTCCACACAATCAACCCAAAGAAGCCTTTGCTCAACAGGTATCACACCATAGGTAATCAAATGAGCAAATGGCCAAAGTTTCCAACCTGCCTGAAAGTATTGTGTGATTTATCAGCAATAAATAATGTTTAGCTTGAGATGTACTTGCCAAAACTGAGCACAGAAGCTACATAGAAATCAATACTCAAGTTTCCAAATATTCCTAATAAGGTAACCTAAGGTAAATTTGGAAGAATAACTCAGGTTGTTTACAGCATAATTTATTTTCATTACCACCTAAAAGCCACCCAAATTATCAAAGAGAAACACACAATTTCTCCATTCACTACACAAGCAACAGAAATCAATCAAAACAGTTCACATCATAGGCATGGTTTCACAGGTGACTGATTTTAGAGCTTACTTAAAGACAGTTTTAGTACTAATTTCAAATGTACAATTTGTTAAGAAGAGGTTTCTCTTTCTCCGTACAGCATTTTGTCTAAGCAGGTTTTAAGGTCCAGCTGTTGAAGAAAACTCGAACCCTACAATACATCATGGAGAAGAGGTAGGAAACTTTAAGGATTGAATCAGAAACTTTAAGGATTGAATCAGAAACTTTTTAATAAAACCATAAAGGAGTCTACAAGACTTGTTTCTGCATTTCAAATTGACGATACTTAAAATATATACCCCACAGGCCACAGGGGAAGAAGATATATGAGAAATCCTGCTCTTAACAAAGAAGGCATGAAATAGAATTTCCGTCTAACAAAACTCGTGTAAACTACATCCTACATTTGCAATGCATAGCACACCCAAAACTTGCATGGAGAGAAACAAAAGAAAAGCTTCTTACAGTCAGCATAGGCCAGAATGTTGCCTTCAGTTCTTTATAGATATTATCAGAGGATTCAAAACGCAAGAATCCCAACACCACAAAGTAGATACTGTTCCAGATTGAAGCCCAAACTGTTTGGTCAAAGATAACTTTCGCTGGAACCACCCACCAGTCATCGAAAGGAAACAGATCCTGGAACTCAAGGTGACTGATTTCAGTGCTCCATGGAAACACCAATCGACGCAGGAAAGTGTATAAACTATGAACCAGAACAATTACCTCACAGAATTGGTAATAATAATGCGAAAGGGATCCATGGAGAGTAAATCCAACAAGGCCGGATCTGAACATGCGTGTCAGATCAAAGTCAAAAAGAGGCTTTCCTTCATAACACTACACATGGTTTACACAAACATGAGCTGAATGAAATACATGGTTAAGTTTAGAGGATTAATTGAGATATAAGGGGTGGTAGGGATACCTGTGCAATCCAATCGCCAATTGAATAGACTATCCCACTTATTGCCATTTTCGCTATCACTGGATTGGCTTTAAGAGCTTGTTCGTATGCAATCCAATTATGCTCTGGAACATATCGGAGTACCTCATAAAGTGTCCATCCCTGGTAATCATTGATAATAATAAAATAAATGCTGAGTTAAAAAAAACACACACAATAACTAGCAGAAAAACAATCTCTGGATTCTAGCACTTAAATTTTCACTTCATTTTATTATGATGATTCCAGCTTCCATTTAAATAAACGATTATGTTACATGCTAAATTCTTATATAGGGAAGAAAAGTTCAACAAATCACGTCCAATTCACTTGGCTTTTGAAACCTAAACTACATAAAACCTCAAATTTATCACTACATTTTCTTCAGGAAAGCAAAAATTAAGTTAGATAAATTATAAATGAAGACCCTTTTTTCCAACCAAAGCTTCAGCTTTCATTGTTAGTTTAGAAAGTCATAAACATCTAAATTGAAACTAAGGATAATTACTATCGATCGTAAATACCCTTCTCCAAACAAGAGCAAACCAAGAGAAAGAAACTCTTTTGAAACGGACCTTTATTCAACTCTTAAGTAAAACCAAAACTAAAACTTCAAAGGGGGAGAAACGTAAACCTAGGAAATAACTTACATGCCAGTAATCGTGATCAATTGTGAGCAACTTAGATACAGCAAGTGTACCGAATCCAAGAACAATAGAGGCATTGATCGCTCTACTGCTCATCTTCTTGACATCATCATCGCCACCTCTCAACTCCTTCAAAATTTTGGACCCATGTGGGAGGAAAGGTTTCGTAGCTTCATCGGAATGGTTAGTCTTGGGTGAAGCCAATTCTTCGTCCTCTGCCACTGATTCGATGACCCAAGTTCTTCTGTTATTGTTCCTGAGCTTTAATGGGTTTGAGTTGGTTTTGTAACAGAGAGAAGTTGAGAGAAGAACTGGAGAGAAATCGGGGAACTTTTGGAATCCGATGATGGGTTTGAAAATTGATGAAGGTTTATGGCCGGCGATACTGTTCACAGCGGCCATGGATTGGGAGGTTACGTGAGCAGGAGAATTTTCGAAATTAGTTGAGTTCCACAAAGTTCGATCTTTTCGGTTACACGCTTCAAGCTTCTTCTTTTTCTTTTGTCTTAAGTGTAGTATTGTCCCTAAATAAAATTAAAGGGACGCTTAAAATTTTAATGATTATCTTATTTGTCTTAAATTATTAATTTCGTTAAAAATATATTTGAAAAAAATTACACATTTAATCGATCAATTGTTTATGCAATTCTATTTTATTACACAGCTATAATTTTTTAAAATCATCATTGAAAATATTTTTTTTATTTCATTTTAATCACTCAATTATTTTTATTTTTATCTCTAATCCTAACCCAGTTTTAAAATTTTTCCCTCTCGCATCATTAATCGCTCAATTCTTTCCCGGAAAATTGAAAAACATATGGCCATCTCTCTCTCTTCAGGAAACAGAAATACTGAAGGCAACACGAGTGCAGCACATACAAAATATTTTTGACGTATTCAAAATATTACTTAATACATATTTATTCGGATGTAAATATATAAATCTTCCAATATCTTAAAATTCATATAATTTTAATTTTTTTTATTGCATTTCGTTAATATCTCTAAAGCAAAATAGGAGGAGCGGCTAATAAGGTTGTGAGAAAGAATTGAGCGGTTGATAATGAGAGAGGGAGAAATTTTTAAAATTGGGTTAGGATTCATAATATATATATATATATATATATATATATATATATATATATATATATATATATATATATGACCAAAATGAAATAAAAGATAAGTTCAATAATGATTTTGGAAAAAAAATAGTTGGGTGACCAAAATGAAGCCACATAAATAATTGAGTGATTAAATGTGTAATTTCCCCTGGTATTATATATATCTAATCTGTTCTTTAATTTCTTAATAAATCAAATCGGATATCTAAGAAAAAAATCGGATCGGATATTGATCAGAAAAATTTTAATTTCGGATTATCCGAAAATCTACACAAAATTGAGCCTTTTTATGATTTTGTCCACTCGTCGGCCCAACGCCCCCACCCCCAACCAGCCTCTCTCCCCAAGGTATTACAAACGAACTTTAAAAGTTCTCCTTCTCAACAACATAATAGAGAGAGGAGTAACAAGCAGCAGGATCGAAGACAGAAAATGAAATATAGCAGAGTGCGACAGAAGTAGAGAGTAGTTAAGTTTAGGATTTCAAAAGTTACCTAATTTTCTGCAGGAAACTTAGAAGCCAAAAGAGGGCTTGGGTTAGAAGAGAAACACGAGGCTTACGCTAAGATAGTGAGCGGTAAGGAAACGTAAAGAGAAATGAAATTAGGCCCGAAATTTTCAAAAGAAAACTTTAGAAAACCTTTTTATTTTTTTAAATAAAATTTAAGGTTGATTATACAAAGATTCTTCTACTATAGAGTAGGGTGTGCAAAAAAAATCTGATCTTTTGATCTGATCCAAAAATTTGGATATCCTATCTATTTTTTAATTTTTGGATAATTAAGATCAGATATCTAAGAAAAAAATCTAAATGAATACGAATTGGTAAAATTTTAATTTCAGATTATTCGAAAATCCAAAAAATAAATTGAGCCTTTTTATAATTTTATCCTACCGAACAGCCCATGTCCCCCACCCCTCAGCCCCTGCAAAATTATATTGACCAAATAACACATTTTCAAATAAGGGATGTGAAATGTAACCTAATATACGGTTAAGAAAAGACGTTATCAGAAATGTTAATATTTTTTAATATTTCTGATAAAACGCTACTTAAAACATTATTTTTTTCTATCGGAAATGTTAATATTCAGTGCTATCTAAAATGTTATTTTTTTCTACCGGAAAATAGGTAGCGAAATTAACATTTCTGGTAGGAAAAAATATATTTTAAGTAGCATTTTACCGGAAATATTAAAAAATATTAATATTTTCGGTAGCGTCTTTCCTTAGCCGTATATTAGACTATCATACAACATAACTACCCAACTAAAGGTATCAGTTAATAAAAGTCTAAAATAAATTCTTGGTTCGAACGGGGGTCGAATAACGAAGGTCTAATTGTTTTTAAAGGTAAGCCAAAATAGGATTAAACTCGTCAGAGCCATTTCTCTCACAGCTGGTCGACCACCAAGACTCAAGCTACTAACCGGCGGTGGATGAACCAAAACAAACTCGATTAGGGTCTAATACGACTGGTGAAAGCTTTCCTGGTGAGACCCGGGCATGATAACCCTTCCACCTTGCGAACTCTGGCCGCGTAAGGCCATTATCAGCCGAAATGAGGCTACGAGTTTCACGAACCACTGTCGTTTAACGTCAACGACAACCAATGTGGAGATGTCGGGAGACAAGAACAACAATCGATGACCTTACCTACACGACCAGGCGCTGACTGAAATACTGAAACGGCAGGGATTTGAAAAGGAAAAGAGCTTTGGAAAAAATAAGAAAAAAATCGAGGAGAGGGGTGTCACATAGTTTAAAACTGAGAGTTAGAGTTAAGGGTGGAAATCAGGTTGGGGAAAAATCGAAAATTGTGAGGAATCGAAACGAATGGATGAAGAATAATCGAAATCTTCACTCATAGAGATAGGAGATGAGGAAGTTTTATCCCCGAAGCTCAAATGGGTATAGGGACGGGGATTGTTATTTTCGAAGCGTGGGAATGACCGAATCGTACCGGTGTGAATAACCGTAGGGATTCTCAAAAAATATCCATAGGAATCCCTGATATTTTACAAATTTTTAACAATATATTTGTAAGCATTTACCTATATACTCTTAATATATATTTTAATAAAAATTATATATAATAAGATTGTGAGATTATGTATTGTCACTATTACATTTCAAATGAACTAAAATTGAAGTTTAGATCTTTTTTCTTTTAATATACATTGATTTGTTAAGATTGAAAAAGATTAAGATTGTACATATACATTGGGTGTTAGATGAATATTGATGTTTGAAACTTTCATATTATAGATCAAGACTAATTTGAGACAATCTGATATATCTTACAAGTTTTAGGTATTGTATTGATTTCAAAAATATTTTTATTTTTTATTTTTTTAGGTTGAGGATTAATTGAAACCCACAGAGATCCGTAAGAGATAGGTATGTAGATAAAAAAAATTTTTTGAAACAAATAATAGAGATTCCCCAAAATCATACCCGCAAATGTGGATGGATTGGGTAATGCAATTGCCACCCCTAGTTAGAGTTGATATCAAAAGAAAACTGGGCTAATTATCAAGTAGGTCATCAAATTAATGAGGATTTACGAAAAAGACTCCCAATTTCTCAATTTTGCAATTTAGTCACTAACATTAATTTATGCATTTAAGACAAAAATTCCCTAAATTATAGGGTTTTAAATTGGGAATTTTTCAAGGTGTTACAAACAAATTTTGAAAAATTCTCCTTCTCAACAATGTAATAGAGAAAGGAGTAACAAGTAGCAGGATTGAAGACTGAAAACGAAATATAGCAGAGTGCGGCAGAAGCATAAAGTAGTTAAGTTTAGGGTTTCAAAAGTTACCTAATTTTCTACAAGAAAATTGGAAGCCAAAAGAGAGCTCTGGTCAGAAGAGAAAGACGAGACTTATGCTAAGATAGTGAACGACGAGAAATAGTGAAAAGAGATGAGATAAGGTCCGAAATTTTCAAAAGGAAATTTTAGAAAACATTTTTTTAAAATATAATTTAGGGTAGAGTATACAAATGATTCTTTGACTATAGAGTGGGGTGTGCAAAAAAAATCTGATCGGATCGATCTTCTCAATTGATCCATTGATCCGATCTAAAAGTTCATATATCCGATCCGTTCTTTAATTTTTGGATAATTCGGATTGAATATCCAAGAAAAAATCGGATTGGATACGAGTTGGTAAAATTTCGATTTTGAATTATTCGAAAATCCCAAAAAAATAATTGAGCATGTTTAGGATTTTATCTAACCCAATAGCCTCAGTCCCCCACCCCTTAACCCCAGCCACCCCAGCACGCCCCACCCCCAACCAGTCTCACGCCCCAGGGTGTTAGAAACGAACTTTGAAAAGTTCTTATTCTCAACGATGTAATAGAGAGATAGGAGTAACAAGGAACATGATCGAAGACTAAAAATGAAATATAACAGAGTGCGACAGAAGCATAGAGTAGTTAAGTTAGGGTTTTAAAAGTTACCTAATTTTCAACAAGAAACTTGGAAGGAAAAAGAGGGCTCGAGTCAGAAGAGAAACACGAGGCTTACGCTGAGATAGTGAACGACGAGGAAGTGTAAAGAAAGATGAGATTAGGACCAAAATTTTCTTTTCAAAAGAAAATTTTAGAAAACTTTTTCGTTTTTTAAAATAAAATTTAGGGTAGTGATTATTCGACAAAAAAAAATGATCTTCAGATATCCCATATGTTCTTTAATTTTTGGATAACTCGGATCGGATATCTAAGAAAAAATTCGATTGGATACGAATTGGTAAAATTTTGATTTCATATTATCCGAAAATCCAAAAAAGTTGAGCCTTTTTATGATTTTATCCAGCCCAACTATGATCCCCAACTTGCTAGATGGTATTATCTAAAAAATTAAATCTGAACCCGATTTTTTTTTTAAAAAACCGACTCAATTGAATCGGGTCGAGAAAAACCGACCCAATTGAATCAGGTCGAGTCAAAACTCGTCGGGTTCACATTCCATGCTCATCCATAGCTGCTTCATTTTAAAATTGAGAAAAAAGCGTCAGTGACCGAAAATGTCTTATAATATACGATTTTAATCAACTTTTTTTTGATTTGCCAAAATGATCAACAAAATCGCAACGCGATATCAAAACCGCAACGCGATTTAGAAAAGCGCAACGTTGAAAAGAAGATCGCAACGCGATCTTCCAAGAATCGCAATGCGATTCATAAAATCGCAACGCGATCTTCCAAGAATCGCAACGCGATCTTCCAAGAATCGCAACGCGATTAAGAAAATCGCAACGCGATTCCAAGAATCGCAACGCGATCTTCCAATAATCGCAACGCGATTAAGAAAACCGCAACGCGATTCCAAGAATCGCAACGCGATTAAGAAAATCGCAACGCGATTCCAATTCAAAAGCTGTTGCATTTGTTTCTTTCTTAAGAATTTTCTCTAAAAAGATAGTATCCGCGCGGACGTGTCGAAGACACGTATTACCACGACCACGACCACGACCCGACCCGACCCGAGACGAGACGGCGGCAGCGGCGGCGCGCGAGAGTCCCCCTTGTTCTCTTTCACTCAACAAGAAAATGGGAAATCCAAACCTTAAATACACTTCCCAATAGTGTTTCCAATACTATGTGGGATTGAGCATTACTCAACACTTCAAAGAAAATATAGCAATTTTTGTAGCATGTTTCCCGCTTAATCCATATTTAAAAATATTAAAACATTTTATCATATTAAAACTATATGTATAAGTTTGAATTGAAATGTAGATATCTACAACTCTTTTAATTCTCATGATAAAATGTTTTAATATTTTTAGATATGGATTAAGTGGGAAAATACTACAAAAATTGCTATATTTTCTTTGAAGTGTTGAGTAATGCTCAATCCCACATAGTATTGGAAACACTATTGGGAAGTGTATTTAAGGCTTGGATTTCCCATTTCCTTGTTGAGTGAAAGAGAACAAGGGGGACTCTCGCGCGCCGCCGCCGCCGCCGTCTCGTCTCGGGTCGTGGTCGTGGTCGTGGTCGTGGTCGTGGTCGTGGTAATACGTGTCTTCGACACGTCCTCGCGTATACTATATTTTTAGAGAGGCGATTTTCTTAATCGCGTTGCGATTTTCTTTTCAACGTATAGTGTAATTAACCCAAATTGAAAGATAAACATCTTATTTACTGGTGTCATTAAAAATATTGTTAAGGTAAGAATCATTCCTTATATATCCTAAACTTCATAATGAGAGGCGAATCTCTATGTTTTTAGAGTTGATGGATATTTAGGGTTTTAGATCGTTTTGGTGTGAAAGAATATACCTTGAAGTTTATAAGTGTTAATTTTACCTACCTTCCAACCTCTAAAGGTGTTATAATTTCGTTTATTGCCTTTTAATCTTGTGAAAGAAATGGGAGTATCATCCTGAGTCAGAGGTAAAAAATGCTTATGACGAGATCAATAAGTTTTCTTTTTTGTATTTTTGAGTTTATGTAATATTTTTATTTTTAGCATATTCGTATGAACTAGAAACGTAGGAAGTTATAGGTAGAAGTGCATCATTTTGTATGATACGTCAATTTGCATAAATTTTCTCATATGTTATGAATTTAATATTAAAATTTGTTTTAAATGTTGTTAAATAATGCGTAAGGTATAACTATAGGTATTGATTCGGGAATCATATGGTCAATTTGAGCAATGTTAAAATGATTTCTCGAATTTTATGAGACTACATTTGTACTTTGATATCGATATTATTCTTATATTATCAATACCCTTTGAATATAATGTAAAAATATGGATATTTTAAACTTTAATTATTGATAGCTTTTCATACGGTATCAATACCGTTTAATTGGTATTTATATGTTTCATCTAGTATCAATACCATTGGTTGGATATCAATATTAAGTAATTTGAACTAATTTTTAGTATCGACACCTTCATAAGGTATCACTATCAAAAAGATAGGTATTGATACCCTAAAAACATCGAATTATTTTTGGTATGAGTACCTCTATAGGGTATCGATACAAAAGACATGATATTGGTATCTAGAGAACTTCAAGTCTATTTTCAGTATCGATATATATATTGGGTATTAGTACTCTAAGGGGTATTAGTACCCATGAGACAGTATTGATACTTATTAGACTAAATATGTCATTCGATACTTGAACTCTAACTCTTTTTAGGAACGATCTTAATGCCTGATAAATAATATTTAAGACTTGGATGGTAAAAGAACACCTTCATAACAAGTTAAATGGAAAATTAAACTAAAGTATTGATGAATAAGGTGACTCATACATGACCACTTTAAAAACTACGAATGTGAAAATTGTCTGTTTTATGAAAAATGTTGGGTTTTTTAAGTACACTTATTAAAATCCTAAGGAAAGAATGTTATATATATACACATTTGTATCTATGTTTTATTGACACATCGCAGACTTCAATGGATGAAGGGTGAGTTGTGTGTTATGAGTTCTCCCTAATCTTAGAAAGTTCAAGATTCGTTCACTTATTTAAGAGAAGAATTAATCATCATCACCATGTACTAGTTCAAGATATGCTCACTGATGCTTAAGCAACTACTCTCGCTATTACTCTTCTCGTGTTTTAACTTTAATGCTCTCATATATTTACAAAAGATTTCTTTCACATTAGTGGGAGAATGTTGTTAATGCTCAATTCAATTGTAACATATTTTTAAATGTTATTTATTTCTATTTTAAATAGCTTTAAATTGTATTTTGGAAATGATATTTTTACCTTCACTATTTATTCTATAAATAATGGGAACTTTACTCATTTCATATCATCCTTAAGTAAATATTTGCTTTGAAACATTATTCCTCTTTTGAGTGATGTTTGAGTTGAGAGAAGAACAATACCATCCAAGTCTACTCTAGTTTTTTGTGTGTATGAATTCGAGGGTTGTTCGTCTATTGTAGCGATTACACACATCAGAACAAATTTGTTTCTAAGGCAAAGGATTATCACGACATAGTTATCATTCTCATTGATTATTTTATTTAATATTTTTCAATCAATGTTAACGTCTTGTTTTATAGTAATCAATTTTTCTAACATACTTACCCTATGACGATCTAAAATGACTTAAGTAGCATTTTCCATTTGGAAACTTAAAAATTCAAATATTGTGCATTGTTTCTTTCTCACAAAAAATTACTCCATCCGTACAAGAAAATACTTCTTTAGTCCCATAATTTGTCTTATATTGACTATATATATATATATATATATATGTAGTTTTAAGAGATATATTTGATCAATGAAAACGACAGAATTATCCTTAAAAAGTGGTTGACATATTTATTTTGATATATGTAAAAAAGTGATACATATAAAAGTAAAAAAAAGAAATATAAATATTGTTATTTGTTGACTTTTCTAGTAAGATATTTTGATTGAGACAACTTTAAAAATCAAAACACTTTTAATGGAAAAAAAATAATATTTTTGGTTTTAATCTAAAATGTTACACAACTTTAACTAAAAAGTTAAACTCTTAATAAATTTTTCTATTACAACCACTTTATAATTTTTTAACTTTATATTAATCGATTGTATTTTAGATTCATCATACAAATTTATATAACAAATAAATTCCAAATTCATTTCCCCTAACTTAACATAAAGAAAATAGAAAATGACACTGCTGAGATTGTATTAAATTTTGGTAATCCTATTGATAATAAAGCTAGTTTGTGTATCATATACCAAGTTATCTTTTTCCTTAGAGTAAATTATAAATTTGGTAATTTAACTTTACTCTCTCTCTTATTTTATACACTATACTTTAAATCTTTTCAATTTACTCACTGAACTTAACACACTGGATTTTTTTTCATCACTTAGTCGTTTTCTCACTAACGACGTTATAATTGAACTTTTATATAGATGCAAAACGACGTATTTTTAGTGAAAATGTTGTTTTTTATAAAACGGTGCCGTTTTAACGTTGCTAACTATTTAACGGCTGAGTAATTTCAATGAGCAAAATAGGAGAGTAAATTTTAGTGATGAAATTTGTAATTTACCCTTTTTCCTATGCAATATCAACCAGCGTCTAGAATCACATATGATCTAATATCTATAACATTATACTACAAAAGACTATACCAAAGTACAAAAATTTCCTAATGCTTTTGATTCGAGGCTTTACAATAACTCTTCCTACGCAAATATATTTCCATCAACCAAACCATACTTATAATACTATCACAAGAACCAGAAAACATTAGAGGCTATTAAATGGAAAATCAATACTTTGCTTTAGACCAAGCAAAGTTCGAGTCAATGCCCTAGATTCTGGTTCAATCACAATGTCAATAATACAATGACAAGAACACAAAAGGCCTTACAATATAAGCTGGCTGCATCGTGGGCAATTGGTCTGGTGAAAGCAGTGATCTTTCTCAACCAACTAAAACAGAATGGCAGACAAAGCAAAATAAAAAAACGCAATAATTCTTGTATCTAGAACAGTTATCATTCGAAAACAATGGCCAACCTCTAGGCAACACAAGTTACACAAAACTGTTCAAAGTGTTACTGCATTAGAGTCTTATTTGTTTTGATGATGGTCTTTCACAACCTAACTGAAACAGAACAGCATACAAAGCACAAAGCATAAACCGAAAATGCATTCTTCCTCGGATGTAGTTCACTTATCATTTCCGGAACAAAGATGAACCGGTAATAAGCACCAGTCTAGCAAACTAGATGATGTTTCAAAATTGTTCCCCTAAAGCAATTTGATACCTGCATCCCTGAGAGAATCAATGACAGCCTTGATTTTTCCATGATACTTCTGTTCTCGCTTTAAGAAAACAGAAACAGCAGGTATCTCTTTGAGCAGCAAACGTTCCCCGAGTATCTTCCCAATCTTGGCAGCAGCGGCCACGTCCTGAGTAGATTCCATGCTCGTCCTGAGGGCCTTCTCCTGTGAGCTTGCCGCTGAGGCCACAGTTGCAGTCGGAGCATGAATAACTTGGGCACTAACATACTTGTTTGTGAAATGCATCTTCAGGACATAGGGCTTTAGGAATTTTACAACTCTTGGTGGTCTAACGGGTGGAGGGATAACCATCTCTGTCCCACACAATAAAACATAGATAAAACTCCAAAAATACAGTCATGAATCATGATTGTTTAAGCACAACATACCACCAAAATTTGACTGTAAAGCATCACAACTGCAAATGTGAATCAAAAGCTTAGTTCATTTAGTTCATACATGATGCAATACAACTATCCTTTAGAGCTACCATCTAGCAACTGCAAGAAATGTTGGATGAAAAACGTGATCTTTACTTCTAAGATCCTTCAGTTTCAACTACGATCCAAGGTAAGTGAGATTAAAATATTCACACAAACTTTACATCTATCGAAGGTAAATATAGAATTTGTAAAACGTTAAAAAAATAAATCGGTAAAGAAAAGGTAAATGGAGAGAATACCCGCAGCGCCGGGAAGACCACGGCGAGTAATGAGAGAGGAGGCTTGAGAAGGAGCCGGTGTTCGAGCTAGAGTAGCTGCTCTACGAGTTGCAACCGCCAACAAAGTAGCCGTCTCGCTAGTTGCTTTCTTCTTTCTTCCCGGAAGAGGGAGAGGAGACGGAAATCGTCGATGATGTTTTAACAAGAAGACGGCTGCAACAAATCAATCAGCTTGTTTGGGAAGCTAAACGGTGCCATATTCGATCCCTACATCAATCAGCTTGTTCATGGGCCTGAAACCCATAAGAAAGTAGCCCAATTTACCAAAACAAACCTGCTAAAAACTTGTTTTTATGAGAACAACATTACTTTTAAACAATAATGTATAAAATATTAAACTAAACTTTAATCATTTTAAAGTTTAAATATTCTTGAATTTAGGAGTGCTCACTGTTTGGTTAAAACCAAATTAACCAACCGAACCGAAATTTCGATCGGTTAATCGGTTGGTTAATTTTGGGTTAGATCAGTTAACTATTAATGGTTTTTTTTTCTTTAAATTTTGAAGTTCGAAATTAGTTAATTAACCGAAAATATTAAATATATAATATTATATATATATTATTTAGCTTTAGGGGTGTTTGAACTCAATTTTTACCGAATTAACCGACTAAATTAACAGAATAAACCAAAAAGTATTTAATATTTAATATATATTATATATTATTTATAAATTTAGGTTAATTCGGTTAACTGATTAATTAACTGAACTTGTATAGGTTTGGTTAAATTAAAAATTTAGTTCAATTAACGGTTAGTGGAGAAAATTCGATTATTAAAATTTAGATAATTTAATTCGGTCGGTTAATCGAATTACTTGTTTCAACACCCCTTCTTAAATTATTTTGATATCGAATTGATGGGATGACTTTAACTAAATCGGGTCAGAAGAAGTTACGTCCATACAATAACTTGACACCGTCAGATAGGTGCCCAGCCCAAACTAAGCTAGGGTTTTCATCATCTAGGGTTTTATAAGAAAATAGCTCTCTATAAATGATTCCGAGAGCACCTTTTCCTCCAAAAGTTTCCATTGTTCATTTGCTAATACAATCTGATAGAAAGCCCAAGTCTTGTATGTCAAAAGTTTAACCAGCACGAACTCTCCCGGGCTTATCTGAATCTCAAAAAGTGAAGAAAAAAGCCCCAATGTTGGTGCTAAAGTCATGCCGTCTCACGTGTTGCCGAGTAGCTTTGCTTTCCCCACCGGCTCTTCCGTGTCAAATAGGCGGCGACACTTCCCCATCTTTTTAGCTTTATACTTGTTGGCGATGATTACTTTTTTTATTTTATCCGCGCTTCTTAGAGCAGTTCATGAAGCAAACAAGTGATAAAAATGGTTGAATTCCTTGATATGGGCCACCCTCTTTAATAACAAACATGGTTTTTTTAGACGTATATTTCCCCAAGACCCTGTTTACAGTGTGAACCTACTTGAGGTGTTCATGAAATTACTCAAAGTTTTTACAGATTATTCGAGAGTTTTATAGACAATATTAAAAGGGCAAATTACTCAAACTTATTCAACTATTTATTGTATTTTATTTTAATCATTAAATAAAAAATATTAATTTAATATTTGATCATTTTTATTTAATTATGATGTGCTCATTTATATTTAATTTTTTCAATAGGAGCAGTTAAATGACCAAACATTTAAAAGTTGATAAATTAAATAAAAATGAACATATTTATATCTTATTGAAATAAAAATAAAACTGATCCAATAATAATATTTTTTAATTCATTGAGAAAAAAAATTATGAAATTTAAATGAAAGTGACCAACCTAATAGTTTACACATTTAATTAGAATTTATTGTAAACATAAAATTTTAATTATTAATAAAATTGTTAATGTGATAAATATAATAATATATAATCTTTATTAGTACTTCATATTTTAATTTAAACTTACTCTATAAAAATGGTTATTTAATAAGATTGTAAGTAAGTTTTTATCGGTAATGTAAAAATTATTCTATGTAAATGTTTATTTGATAAGTTTATGTAGTTGTAAAATTTTAGAGATAAAAATAAATTTTTAATAAAAATATTTAAAATATAAAAAATTAAAATTTAAAACTTTTAGGAGAGTGATTGCCATCCTTACCCTCTCCATCTTCATCTCTGCTCAAAAGTAGAGGCACACTTAATTGTTGAGTCAAGTTTAATATTTAATTCAGTTGTGTAAGGTATTTAATTTTTATACCTATATTTTCTAACAAAAGAAAATATATACTAGAGTATATTTTTATCAACTTTTGTTCTTATAATTAAACATATAATTATTAAAATCTAGTTTTTTTTGTATTGTCCTCCTTTTACAGGGTTTAATTCTAACTAATTTGGATCGATTCGAGTCACACACTTAGTTTTGATAGGCGAGTCTCCCAATGAGAATTTTTTTGCATACACAAGAATTCGAATTTAAGACCTTTGTGTAGACACAAGTTTTTGTCCGGATTTAAAAAAAGATTATTTATTTATTTATTATTACTATTATTATTATTTATTATTTATTTTTATAGGCCTCATATTCAACCCACCGTTCTACTAAATCCCTAAAAATTTGACTAATGCAACTAAATTCAACCGAACATGGACCTTCCGGGAACGTGCGCACCCACCACCTCGCACGTACAGTTCAATTAACCTCACATGTTTGCTTCTTTTTCTATCTGCATCATAATCGTCACTCTCCACCCATTCCTTTTAATTCCCCCATTTACAAATGAAAATGCCCCTGTACTCGTAAACCAAAGAAGTAAATGGAGGAATAAAGGAAGGGGGATGGGCACAAAGGAAAAACACAAAAGGGGGCCACCATTTTTGGTTTTAATGATGGATGCATGCACTTCTTCCTGAATTCCCCCCCCCCCTCCCCCTTAATTTCTTTGCTCAAGTCCACTGCTCCCAACCTCTCTCCCACGCGATCACCTTCACCAAATTCCAAAAGGCCGAACACACCTTGTTTAACATATATGCCGAGTATACTAACCAAGTCTCAAAGAAATTGTAACATGTTGGATAACACTACTGTTCCAGTGTTTCGATCTTCTTCCTATGATCATCTCAATGGGGTCACTCAGAAAAGAAAAAGAAGGCCTGCTGGTACCCCAGATTCGGATGTAGAGGTGGTTGCTTTATCACCAAAAACGCTGTTGGAATCAGACAGGTATGTGTGTGACATCTGCAACCAAGGGTTGCAAAGAGACCAGAACCTTCAAATGCACAGGAGAAGGCACAAGGTTCCATTGAAGCTGCTAAAAAGGGAAGAAACACGAGAGGTGAAGAAGAGGGTTTACGTTTGCCCAGAGTCGAGCTGCTTGCACCATGAGCCTTGCCATGCCTTGGGAGATCTGGTTGGCATCAAGAAACATTTCAGGAGGAAGCACAGCAATCAGAAGAGACGGGTTTGCCAAAAATGTGCCAAGGGGTGGAGAGTTTCATTGAACACGAAGATGCTTGCATCGGTCGCGCACTAGGTGTTCAACCCGAATTGCAGGCGCTGCACTGGAGCTGCCAAGTGCATTATCTGACGATGGAGGGAAAGCTTAAAAAGTGTGGTTCCATTCATTGAACTATACACAAGTGGATCCTGCAACATTTATTTCCAAACGTTGAAAGATGGCATTATAAGCAAAGAAAGTTTGGATCAAAGTGCCGTTGCAGTCTAATATCGATGGCAGTATTGCAGGGAATGTCACTTTCTCTTCATTTTGATTTTTTATTTTTTTATTTATTTAATATTTATTCAATATATATTTTTTTCTCTAGAATTTTTGACTTTTTTAGAAGAATTTCAACCAATTAAAGATAAGTAATTTGAATCGAGTATCTAAATTTTAATTTTAATTTTTGCAAATTAAGACAACCACAAATTAATTGGTACCGAAAGGACAGTTAAAGGGTGTTAATCATTCTTTGACCGTAACCGATTCCCGAACCCGACATATTTCTGGTGAAACGCAGATCAGGTAAGATGGTGTCCGACCTACCTATATGTTTTTAAAATGGTCGGTGGCGACTCTAACCCAATTATCCAAGTCGAAGCCCAATTTCGGGCCACCCGAAAGACGCTTCCGACAGCTTGGCGACTCCACTGGGGACAGGTAAGTGAGTCAGACCAGAATTAATTTTCAGTTATCTTTTTATGCGAAAATAATAAATTTTAATTTATTTATTCTATTCTAATTATTTACGTTTGATTATTTTTCAAATAAATAGTTGTACTGAAGTTTTTTCAATGATTTCAGATTTTTGAAAAGTTTCTATCTCTGGCTCTATATCTGAGCTCCGAACCCTTTTAAGTGGGGGTGAAAGTGACATATTCGTGATAATTTATTCTCCGCACAGGCCTAACAAGTAACCTTCGGGATTCATATACCTTATGTCTTCGTGTGAATTTATTCACCGTATAGACATAAGGGAATGTTTTCTATCGAGTTTAACTTAGTCCACATAAGCTTGTAGTGGTCTTAGGACTAAGGGTCTGGAAAGCCCAAGGGGACACCAGCAAGGAGAAATCGAGTACCTTTTTAGAACCTAAACCGGGAGACTACAGGGAATTAGAGCCCACCCCAAAACCTCATTGCAAACCCTAAGATGCTTTGTTTTTATTTCCTGCTTTATTTTTTGTTCAAAGCATATGAACTAGAAATGTATGCGGTTAGGACTAGTTCAAAATTAACATGTGGGATAGAGATCATGTCCGGGTAGGAATAATAAGCATGTAGGGTAAATATCATGTGTGATAAGACTTTTCATTTTCATCATTTTTTCATCATTTTTTCATCCTTGTCTCACTAACTTTTTCCCTTCAGTTTTGTTTTTTTTCTTTCATTTTTTCATCATTTACATCATTCAAAAGAGGTGTTGATCCACCAAAAATGTGTTCGTTAAACATAAATAATATGTATTAATGGACAAAGGGGTTATAATACAAGAGGTGAAAAACATAAAAGTCTAGTTCAGAAAGGTCTATGATTTATGCTGAGCACACCAAAAGTCAACTTTTTGAGTTGGCAAAAATTTGCAGGTCATACAAGATGAAGGTTACTGACCTGGAGAATCCCTTCAAAGACAACAAGAACAAGATAACTAAACCCTAGCTAAGCTGGAGACCACTATAGACAAATTCAAGAAGCAAACTTTAGATAATTCTTATCGATGGAATACTCCAATGGCACTTACGTTAGGAACAAGCTCAACAGAGAGTCGATGTCGGAGATGTAGTCCTTCGAGACTTTTTTTGGGGGCAAGTAGCTCGTCACTTGAATAGTTTAGCCAGAGGAGCCAGAACGGTCCGACAGGGTATTCAACCAGTGACAGAAGAAGACAGAAGATGAATCAATTTGTCAGAAGTAGTTAGGGGTCTATACTTTTAAAATATTTTTTGTCTCTTAAGACGTACCACTTTTGTCCGCAATAAGGATTATTTACAATAACAGACACATTTTTTGGATCAATGTCTCAAACATTTTATGCATCATGCATTCTTGCATATTTCGCATAATTTTTCTTCTTTTTTTCATTGCATCCACACGAACTAACAGAAGATTTTCATAAACAAAGGGGTACAAACACTGGACGTACCTCCACAAACTTCGGACACGTTTCATCCTCCCGACACTCGCGCAAAGGAAAACGAAAGCAAAGATTGTTCAACTTGAAGAGAACATGCTAAGATTACAACTGGAAGAAAATAAATCAAAATCAGCAAAGTACCTTGGATTCCATCACTAGGAACCATGACTTATTGGTTGACCAGATTATTTCACGGTTGTCTGACTTGAATCAAATGAATGCTCCTTGGGCAAGTGAGGCATCCTAATGAGGATTTATTCCATTTTTCAGCGTCCTGTTTGGACTTGTTTTTTTGAACCTTCTCACATTTTTTTTGTAACTTGTTTTTTAACTTTGACACATTTCTTTTTATGAGGACATTTCAATGAATTTGTGCTGAGCATTGAATTAAATTTGCAAACTTGAAATTCTTCGAATATCAAATGAATCAAAAACTCTGTAAACGATCGGAGTTATAGATCTTTGACATTGTGATGTGATAATAACCTTTGATTTTTCCCCGAAAGACAAACTCGAACACCATACCCTTTTTCTTACAAGAACGGGCATAACCTTCTCCTTTCATAAGGTAACAAACAAGAGGCTTGGTATTAAGTATACATAGGAGCGGACAACATGGGGCATCTCTTGTGTATGACATTACTATACTTTTATCGAAGACGTTCAATGATGATAATGATCTTCATAGATGAGTCTAGTCTAGGTCAGTTGCTTGGAAATTGAATTCTAAAGATGAAATTTTTGACTTTCAACAAACACCTAGACTATAACAGGTTCTTCTTGACAAACTTAAGAAATTGGATCTATATACCCATATTATAATATTATATATATACAATAAAACTTGAGTTTTCCCTCTAAAGCAATTAGTTAAACGCCCCGACTTTATGGATAAGATTCAGCTAAGCCTGATAAAGGTGATTATAATGTCTATACAATAAAGCTTGAGTTTTCCCTCTAGAGCAATTGGTTAAACGCCCCGACTTTATGGATAATATTTAGCTAGCCTGATAAAGGTGATTATAATAAAATGATATTAAGCTGTCTCTCTAGAGTAATTGGTTAAATGCCCCGGCTTTATGGATTCAATTAGCCAGACAATGACAAATTTAAATAAGGAGTTTCTGTAAAAATGGACTAAGGGAGTTAAGGAACACCTGTTATAGTCAAATTCACACGATCACTCAAGAATTTCATTTTTAGACTGATATTTCTACACTACCTTTGTTAGAGGAGTTTACAAAACTTGAACAAATGGAAGATTTTAGAGAACTGAAATAGAAGGTCTAGTAATCGATAATGCTAGTTGTGTCATTTTGTCCGCATCCAAGTAAAATATCAAGCCAAAGAAAAAGCATGTTGCAATGACCAAGGAAAAATGATATTTTTTTGTTGATGGTTGAAACCTTAGAAAATAGGAAGCCAACCTGAAACCAACTCATCCACTTGAACATTTGTCAAAGAGATATAACTCTGAAAGCATTAAAAGAACTATTGATCCATTTAATATTCTTTGAACTCATGTTTATAATTTGATTCGATTTGATTGCGAGCCTGAATTAAGGGGCAATATTTTACATAATTCTTCTATTTTCATATCCTTTTTCCCCTCCTGAATAAGAGAAAGGAAAAAACATTTTCAAACATGACAATCTCAAATGTGAAAGGTCTTGGAAGGTGCTAAGACTCATTTTGCCTCTATTGAAGAAATAACGAACAATGCCAAATTTCAAGCATTTCACAAGATAATTAGTCTGAGTGATCAGATAGAACTTGTGAAATTACCAATAACCTAAGAAGAAAATGGGGCATGGTCGATTCTAAGGACAAGACCAGCAGACAAAAATGAGGCTCCATCCAAGGGATAAAACAAAATTAATTCATGTTGCATGCATCTTAGACATACTTAAGAGCATCACATTTATCATTTTTAGTATACATATTTTTGCAGCTTTTTAGTCAAGTTTCAACTTCAATATGAAAGATACTCGATTCAAAAAGCACATTCAAAAGTTGATGGTGGTTGCTCGACCTCACAGCGAAGGGGTCACTGTCTGACAACAAAACAACTTTCCGAGTCTCGTTCAGAGTCAATTTCAACTTCACAGCGAAGGATATTGAACTCGAAGTGACAATTTACTCGAGATTGGATTTCAACTTCACAATGAAGGATATCCAACTCAAAGCAACATACAATACTTGGATTTCAACTTCACGACAAAGGATATTCAAGTCAAGGTTCAACTTCACAACGAAAGGGCCATCCACGATTTCAACTTCACGATGAAGGATATCGTGCCAACTCTATATTGGATTTCAACTTCACGATGAAGGATATCCAATTCAAAGCTCAACTTCACGGTGAAGGGGCTTCCCAATTTTATTCAGAGCCAATTTCAACTTCACGGGGAAGGATATTGGACTCGAAACAACATTCATCCTTAGATTGGATTTCAACTTCACGATGAAGGATATCCAATTCAAGGCTCAACTTCACAACGAAGTGGCCATCCACGGTTTCAACTTCACGACGAAGGGAATCGTGCCCACTAACAACATTCATCTTTAGATTGGATTTCAACTTCACGACGAAGGATATCCAATTCAAAGCTCAACTTCACAGCGAAGGGGCTTCCCAGTTTTATTTAGAGCCAATTTCAATTTTACGGCGAACGATATTGGACTCGAAATATTTGGATTTCAACTCACAACGAAGGATATCCAATTCAATGCTCAACTTCACGATGAAGGGGCCATCCACGATTTCAACTCCGCGACGGAGGATATCGTACCTATAAATCCACGATTTCAACTCCATGACGGAGGATATCGTACCCATAAATCCATGATTTCAACTCCACGACGAAGGATATCGTGCCCACAAATCCACGATTTCAACTTCACGACGAAGGATATCGTGCTCATCTCTAAATTAGATTTCAACTTCACGACAAATGATATCTAATTCAAAGCCCAACTTCACAGCGAAGGGGCTTCCCAGTTTCATTCAGAGCCAATTTCAACTTCACAGTGAAGGATATTGGACTCGAAATATTTGGATTTCAACTTCACGACGAAGGATATCCAATTCAAAGGCTCAACTTCATGACGAAGGGGCCATCCATGATTTCAACTTCACGACGAAGGATATCGTGCACACAAGCAGCATCCATCTCTAGATTGGATTTCAACTTCACGACAGAGGATACCCAACTCAAAGAGAGAGTGTCTGTCAACAAACTTTCCAGTTTCAGAGTCGATTTCAACTTCATAGTGAAGGATATTGGCCTCGAAACAGCGCAACTTACATTGGATTTCAACTTCACGATGAAGGATATCCAATTCCAAGGCTCAACTTTACGACGAAGGGGCCATATACGATTCCAACTTTACAACGAAGGGTATCATACCCGAACAGATTGACCTTACTTCATGACGATGGAGTCATCTCTGTCACAACAATCGTATCACCCCTAGACGACCAGACATTTTCATCACCTATGAGCAGTGTCTTCCCCCAAATCAAATCAAAAAAAGGAAAACCGGAAAAAAAACTGGTTGCCTTTTTCGTCTTTGCCCTATCTTTGTTAACATAAGAATGTGCAAAGAGGAACAACTGTAGACACCCGTTTTTGTCCGAGTTTAAAAAAATATTATTTATTATTTATTATTATTATTATTATTAATATTTTTTATTTTTTATTTTTGTAGACCCCGTATTCAACCCCACCATTCTACTAAATCCCTATAAATCTGGCTAGTACAACTAAATTCAACCGAACGTGGACCTCCCGGGAACGTGCGCACCCACCACCTCTCACGTACAGTTCAACTAACCTCACATGTTTGTTTTTTTTTTTCTCTCAAAAATGAGAGTGGGAAGCTGGATTAGTGCCTTGCTTATTATTTAAACCAACTTTAAGTTGGAGATAAAGGGGTGTCTGCATCATAATCGTCACTCTCCACCCACTCCTTTTAATTCCCCATTTACAAATGGAAAGGCCCCATGTACTCATAAACCAATGAAGTAAACGGAGGAATCAAGGAAGGGGGATGTGCACAAAGGAAAAACACAAAAGGGGGGCCACCATTTTTGGTTTTAATGATGGATAAATGCACTTCTTTCTGAATTTCTTTGCTCAAGCCCACTGCTCCCAACCTCTCTCCCACACGATCACCTTCACCAAACTCAAAAAGGCCGAACACACCTTGCTTAACATATATGCCAAGTATACTAACCAAGTCTCAAAGAAATTGCAACATGTTGGATAACACTACTGTTCCAGTGTTTCGATCTTCTTCCTCTGATCATCTCATTGGGGTCACTCAGAAAAGAAAAAGGTCTGCTGGTACCCCAGATTCGGATGTAGAGGTGGTTGCTTTATCACCAAAAACGCTGCTGGAATCAGACATGTATGTGTGTGACATTCTGCAACCAAGGGTTCCAAAGAGACCAGAACCTTCAAATGCACAGGAGAAGGCACAAGGTTCCATTGAAGCTGCTGAAAAGGGAAGAAACACGAGAGGTGAAGAAGAGGGTCTACGTTTGCCCAGTGCCATGCCTTGGGAGATCTGGTTGGCATCAAGAAACATATCAGGAGGAAGCACAGCAATCAGAAGAGATGGGTTTACCAAAAATACGCCAAGGGGTGGAGAGTTTCATTGAACACCAAGATGCTTGCATCGGTCGCGCACTAGGTGTTCAACCCGAATTGCAGGCGCTGCTAAATGCATTATCTGACGATGGAGGGAAAGCTTTAAAAGTGTGGTTACATTCATTGAACCATTCACAAGTGGATCCTGCAACATTTATTTCCAAACGTTGAAAGATGGCATTACAGGCAAAGAAAGTTTGGAACAAAGTGCCGTTGCAGTATAATATCGATGGCAGTATTGCAGGGAATGTGACTTTCTCTTCATTTTGATTTATTATTTTATTATTTATTTAATATTTATTCAATATATATTTTTTCTAACATTTTTGACTTTTTTTTAAAGAAGAATTTCAACAAATTCAAGTTAAACTATTCGAATTGGGTATCTAAGTTTTAATTTTAATTTTCTCAAATTAAGACAACCGACAAATTAATTGGTACCGAAAAGGCGGTTCAAGGATGCTAATCCTTCCTTGACCGTAACCGACTCCCGAACTCAATATATTTCTGGTGAAACGCAGATCATGTAAGATGGTGTCCGACCTATCTATATGTTTTTAAAATGGTTGGTGGCGACTATAACCCAATTATCCAAGTCGAAGCCCAATTTCGGGGCCATACGAAAGACGATTTCGACACCTTACTTAAGTGATTTGAAACTGCTTATTAATTAAACCAATTCCGTTGGTTAGTTTTTAATTTACTTAATAATTTTAAAATTCCATATTTATATACAAATTGTATACAAGCTATTATCAAACATAAATCAAGTATTGATTGTGTCGTTATTTTCTAAAAAGTTAAATTTATTAAATTATAATTAATAAAATGTGTCAACAATTCTATAGTAATTAACTGCCAGTAGCTTAATTTCACCTCAAGATAGTGTACTCTACTAAATATGTTTATAATATCATCAAATTATATGTTTAATTTACTATTATAATTTTAAATCTTTATTATAATATGGAATATTTCATTTTTTTAACCATACGAGTGATTTCTATAAAAAAAATACCAAATCTAAAACCTTATCATTACTGCCACCGTCTCTCTTTTACTTAGGGCTGTAAATGAGACGAGACAGATCGCGAGCTACTCGAGATCGACTCTATCAAGGATCGATAAATACTCGGATCGAATGGAATCGACTCAAGTTCTTAACGAGCCGAAACGAGCTACTCGATATTCGACTCGAAAAGCTCGTGAGCAGCTCGAAAATATAATATATTATGATTTTATTTTTAAAAAAAATAAATTATTAATAATATTAATATTTATGTATTGATTTTTTTAAAATACCGTAAGATTTCATGTATTTAAAGTTCATGTTCGAGTTTGAGGCTTCAATTGAGTTAATTATAAGAATTTTTTTTCATTTCGAGCCTTTTCGAGTTGCTCACGAGCTTCAGTTAAGGATTTCGAATTTGATTCGAGCGTGAAAATTTTAAGCTCGCGAGTTTTCGAGTCGAGTCGAGTCGAGCTCCATTTCAGAGTTTTCAAGTCGAGTCGAACTCGACTCGACTCGTTTACACCCCTACTTCCACTATCACTAGGAGCAGTTTTAATTACAGCAGTAACATAATGCTATGATTAATACTTCATGATCTCAGCCATCTTTGTCGCCAATATTTACTGTGGTTAATTATTATAACATCTAAAATTTCCTTGCTTGCAGTTTAATTTCATTTCCCATGTTTTCTAACTCCAAACTGTGCTGCAAAATTTCCTGCAGGGAGAGGGAGAGAGCCTACCTTAAAATTGAGGCACTGCACAAAAATAAAGGAAACTCATAAACATAAAAATAATATAACATGATCCTGTCAAACTCAACAATATCTACAACAATTTGGGGGGACAGTCCTCAAGTTTAAGCACTTTTTTGAGTCCCCTCCCCTCGAACATCACCCCAACACCCTCCAAGTGACAAATGAGAAAAGAATTCAACAACACAAAACAGAAAACTTCAGCTCACTAAGTGTCCAATGCCCAAAGCAATGAAAAAAATTGCACTTCTATGTAGGTTCAACACCTTCGACCTGCTGCTTAGCCAAGTATCTTTCCCGTCGTTCTTTCTACAATGCAGGGGTTGAATTCATTGAGTGCCTCACCCATTCATTTATAACGAGTCCTTCCCCTACTACACGCGGACCAGTGTCTTCTTGAGGCTTTTTGTGCGATTCGAGTGCAGCCTCGGCCTCGTCCAGTTGACGTCTAAGTTTCTCCAATGCCTTGAAAAGGGAAAAAAACACATTGGTCATTCAGGAATTAGGGAAGTTTTTTGGGAAATAGAAAAGGCAAGACTAGAAGTAAACAAGTCATCCCATATTGTGTTCGGATTACTTACGGACAAGTGCGCTTTGGGTCAGAAAAACTATGAGTACAATCTGCTCAACTGAAACCTGATACCTTTGCTCATCACTGTTCAAATTGTTACACGACACATTTTCACTATTTGTGTAGCATGGCAATACTATTAGACGAAAATTTAATACTGTAAACATACGATGCCGAGCGCTTCGTGATTAATCGGTTATTCCTCATCCAAAATCACAATACCAAACATCAATCTGAAGGAAGATGAAGTATATATGAGATAACTTGCTTCATACTTTATGATGCATATGTTTCAGCAAATGAACATTCCATTAGTATTTAGATTTCTTCAAGAATATATTTAAGCTCGAACCACATGCTTTATTCGTTCAATTTTGCACAAACACAAAGATGAAATGATGATGAAATCATAAAGCTGGTTCACCGAATCATGCTAACATCAAGAGTTGAGGTCAAATATACCAGTTCTGGGACATAATCTGTATCTCCTTTCACTTTTAAGCTCATGATCTTGAACTTAACCCTGCTCTTTTTTTTTTCTATTGGTTTCTCATTATTCTCCGGAGGTTCCACGAACTTGAACACTGCTCGTCGGAAAAGAACTCATTAAAATCCAAATCATCAGTATTCTGCCAATCTCAAAAGTTAAGATTATGCATTACCGGTTGTCGTAACCGGTTTTCGTCCGGGCACGAAATATTTATTTTGGCGGGAAAAATAATGTGAATAAATGGTTTTTAAAATAAATTTGAGAGTCGCCATCGGCCTTTTGGGTCAGGTAGGTCGAATACCTAAAAAATCATCTTTTAAAAGAGTTTTTAAGAAAACATCGATTAAAAGATAAACTGATCTGCGTTTTAACCAAAAATTCATTCTTTTTAATAATAAAAAGGGATTCGTGGTTGGTTACGTTTAGGTAAGGATTAAAACCCCTACAACGCCCAAAATTGGTACTTTTTTAATTATAAATTGTCTCTATTATTAGAAAAAAATTCAAAGATATATTTAATTTATAATTCTATTTAATTTAAATTTATTACTATAATTTTAAGAAAATATATTAATATATACTTTTATTTTTATAAATAAGATATTTATTTATTTAGAAATATCAGAAAAGGACTTCTAGTTGCTTTAAGACAACTATTTTCTTAATATTAATAAATAAATAAATGTTGATAAAACATTTATCTAAAAATAATTAAAATATATTAATATATGATTTATAAAAATAGGACATTTATTTATTTAAGAATATCAGAAAATGACTTCTAGGTATTTTAAGACAACTCTTTTCTTAGATATTAAAAAATAAATACATATCAAAATATGTTTATTTTTCTTAAAAGTAATTTATAAAATTAAATTTATAAATAAGATTTTTATTTAATAAACAAATAGAATAAATAAATAAATATTATATAAATATATTTATATAACTTAATAATAATAATAAAATTATCATGAAGATAATAATTTAAACATGTAATAATAAAATAAAATAATAATAATTAAAATGAAAGAAATTAAAAGTAATAATATTAAAAACTAATGGATCATATTTATAAATATATGAACTTAAAAATGTAAAAATAATAAAACTTATGGTTAAAATTAAGATTATATAAAATTTAATTATCAAATTATAAAATATAAATATTTAAGAGATATGGTTAGAATTATCATAAAATATAAATACTAGTAGTGCAATTAACCATTATTTATTTAATCGGTGATTAAAATAGAAATATTAAAATTATTAGGGACTAAATATGATATTTATCCTAAATATATTATTAAATACTGGTAAGGATTAAAACATAATAAAATAAAATTCGAAGACTGAATTAGAACATTCAGAAGTTAGTTTCAGTGACTAAAATGAATAATTACAAAACTAGGATGGCTACGAAAAGGGTTTAACCATACATGTAAATTACGCATATACCTTTTCCCAAAACGACGTCGTTCGGGAAGGGGTATATATACCACTTCATAACTGGCCCGAAGAGCCAGCAGCCTCATTCTTCTCTTCTTCTTCTCTCTCAAAAACGAGAGAAGAAGAAGCTCTCTCTTCATCTCTTAATTCCCTCACCGGAGGGAATTCCGGCGCCGATAGCCACCGCCAAACTCACCGCCAGCCACCGCCTCCGGTGGCCGGAAAATAAAACTTTATACCACAATATAGATCGGATCGTCCTAATGACGATTCCGGTATTTGTTTCTCTTAAAAAGCTCTCAATCGGAGCAAATCTATGAAAATACCTTCGGTTTTCGAAGGTTTGTTGTGGAGCGTGGAGGTGCATGGTTACTCCGGTGGTGGTGTGGCTTTCCTCGGTAAGGTTTCTTTCGATTTTTATCTCGTTATTTTGGTGTTTGATGGTGGCTGGATTGCTTGCTATTGGTGTTGCTGTCTCCCGTTTTCTGGCTGTCCTCTCTCCTTTTTTTTTTCTTCTGTTTTGCAGGATCCAAGACTTTATAGCCTCGGTGAGGTTCTCGTTGGACCAGTCCAGAGGATGAAAGCCTTGGTGAGTCACCAAAGCTATACTGGTGACTCACCGTAGAGGCGACGTGTGTGGCTATCATTATGGCAGCAGAGCTTCTGGAGGCTTCTGGTGAGGTGTCGTGGTATTACAGCAACATTTGGAGCGACGCCTAGCAGTTGAAGCGTCGGCAGCAGACGTGTGGCCTTCTGGAATCAACGGCGGCGGCTGGGACGTGTCCCTAGGGTATCATCACCCTAGGGTTTCCTGCTGGATATCTCTGGACCGTTGGATCTTGCCAGATCCAACGGTAGCAAGCTGAGGCGGCTGGGAGAAGAGGGAAACCCTAATCTGGTTTTTAGGGTTTAACTAGGCCATCGATGTTGGGCTTGTAAATTGGGCCCGAGATTCAAATGTAGTTGGGCCTGGACCATGTTGGGTCTGTTGGGTCTCCATTTGGGCTTGTAATTTTTATTACTTAATAATAATAATATATAATAATATTTATAATAATAATAATAATAATAATAATAATAATAATAATAATAATTTAAGTAAAATAAAAAATTAGTGTCTACAGCTGCCCCTCTTTGCTCATTCTTGTGTTAACAAGAATAGAGCAAAGAAGAAAAAACAATAATTTTTCATTTGACTTCTTTTGAGTAAAACTGAAATGTTGAAAACATCATTCCAGAGGTCTTAAAAACATCATGCACTGCAGAACTTACAGATGACCCTAAGGTTTTGAAAACATCAAAAAGCTCCCGAAGGCTTTTTGGAAACATCATGCACTGCAAGACTTACAGATGACCCTAAGGCTTTGAAAACATCAAAAAGCTCCCGAAGGCTTTTTGGAAATATCATGCACTTCAGGACTTACAGATGACCCTAAGGCTTTGAAAACATCAAAAAGCTCCCGAAGGCTTTTTGGAAACATCATGCACTGCAAGACTTACAGATGACCCTAAGGCTTTGAAAACATCAAAAAGCTCCCGAAGGCTTTTTGGAAACATCATGCACTGCAGGACTTACAGATGACCCTAAGGCTTTGAAAACATCAAAAAGCTCCCGAAGGCTTTTTGGAAACATCATGCACTGCAGGACTTACAGATGACCCGAAGGTTTTGAAAACATCAAAAAGCTCCCGAAGGCTTTTTGGAAACATCATGCACTGAAGGACTTACAGATGACCCGAAGGTTTTTAAAACATCAAAAAGCTCCCGAAGGCTTTTTGGAAACATCATGCACTGAAGGACTTACAGATGACCTGAAGGTTTTGAAAACATCAAAAAGCTCCCGAAGGCTTTTTGGAAACATCATGCACTGCAGGACTTACAGATGACCCTAAGGTTTTGAAAACATCAAAAAGCTCCCGAAGGCTTTTTGGAAACATCATGCACTGCAGGACTTACAGATGTGGGAAATAGTTTACTAAGTAAGAAACTATGAAAATCGTTTTCTTTCTTTTCAACAATTTCATTTTTAGAAAAGATTGAATGAGAAACTATGGAAATCGTTTTCTCATTATTTTTCAAAATAACATGTTGATTGGGTAACATGCCCCAATCTCAAGATAAGGCTGTTAGAAATAGTTTACTAAGTAAAAAAACTAAGAAAATCGTTTTCTTACTTTTCAACAATTTCATTTTAGAAAAGATAAAATGAGAAACTATGAAAATTGTTTTCTCATTCTATTTTTTGAAATAACATGTTGATTGGGTAACATGACCCAATATGAAGATAATGCTCATTTTTGTGGATTGCGTCCATCTCTTCTTCAGATGTTTGTATGATTCTTGTATTTGTGGTTTTGAATACCTTCTTTGTGTAAGGTATTTTTTACCATGAATCTTCTTATTCTTCTGAAGATCTGTAAAACTTTATGTTTGAATGCACTCAGATGTATCAATGTAATGCATTGTCTATTGTGTAAATGATATTCTTATGAATGCATGAATGTTGATGCAATCTTCATTTGACTTCAAAGTGGTGAACTTGGTCTTCCTTCAATTCATCATTTATTGCCAGGGTTACCTCTGGATATCAGTGTAGAAACTTATGTTGTCAAGCTTGCATTTCTACAGAATCATCTGATCAACTTGTATCTTTGCATTTTCTTTGCTTCATTTAAGTCTTAGAAGAAATGTTTCACTTGTGGAACTCTTGTCATAGTCAAAATTATGACCCTGATGCTTCATTTTGTCTTGGATAAAACCAACTTTATTTGCTTGGACTTTGTGTAGAAATCCCATAATGCTTTTATTTTTGAAAAGATAATCTATCATCTTTAAAAAGAGAATCTATCATCTTTGAAGAGTGTAGATATAGATATGTGACTCAGCGGGGATTAATTAGGGGAGTAGAGTCTGTTCTGATTTGACTCTTGAAACACATCATAAGGAAAATTTATCTCAATTCCTTTCACGTCTTTACATCTAATCAGATCTCGAATAAGGCAACTTGGACCATATCATGTCGAGATGCTTAACAACAACCTGTCGTTCAACTAGTTTCTTGTTGTTAAAATTTCAGCTCTCCTTCTACGGAAAGAAATCTTCATTATATCTCAACTTATAATCTTGAAGTTGAAGAAGACAGACTTCATCTTGGATCAATAACTGGAAACCATATGATCGCAACATTGGTTCAATATCAGAGTAGCAGGTTTGTAAAACATTTGACAGTGCATTCATATTTTCCTGTGGTTTCTGTCGAGATGTAAAACACTTGACAACACATTCATCCTTTTCTGTGGCTTCTGCTCAGATTTCTCAATTATTGAAGCTCTTTGCCTAGTGTTAAAAGTTTTTGTATGATATCACAAGATCACTTGAGAACAAAACTCAGTGGGGATACAAGTGAGATGTTGGTATGACCAAAAAGTTGGTCAAATTCACGATATATGCTAGTGTCGAGTTGAATAAAAGATACCAACTGATCTCGATATCATCTCAGGCAAGGGCAAGTGTGATATTGATCACGTTTTCTTTTGTAATGAGCGTTGTAGGTATTAGAAACACATCATCTATAGGGGCCATGTACAGAAAGAGGTTCATGAAATTCTTGCCACTGGGGATGAAACACCCATGATAAAAC